CCCCCCCCTAGAAAAATTTCTGCGGGCGTCTATGCGAATCGGTCACCTAGATAAAATGTGGTCCGATAACCGACCGCACATAACAACCGACCCGGCACTCACAAATTGTAATAAATTATTTTTACCGCCGATATTTAAATTAATATTACTTATCTCAGCTCACCATCCGCGTCACGGACGTCAACGACAACGCTCCCAAGTTCGAGCTGCCCGATTACCAGGCGCACAACGTGGACGAAGATATCCCGCTCGGGACGTCCATACTTAAAGTGAAAGCCATGGACGCGGATTCCGGTGTGAACGCCGAGATCGTGTACCAGGTGAGCGACGATCATTTCGCCGTCGAYTCTTCGGGCATCGTCAACAACAACAAGCAATTAGACGCCGACAACAACAACGCGTATTACGAATTCGTTTTGACTGCCAAAGACAAAGGTACCTGTATTATTATATTATAACATCGTTTTTTCCAAATTATACTTTTTCGGGTAAAAAATATTCATCCTATTGCTTGTCGATATTATACTAGACGATATAGTCCCGCCGAGTGTTTTCTAATAGGCGACCTGTGAACCCAACACCCTCCAGGAGAATCTACGGGACACAATTTTTTGAGGGGAGGGGTCCACTATTGATGTTTGRCACACGCACCAAATGRATATTTTCCTCTCTCGAGTTCCAACGGATTTTACTCACAAACATATTATTATATCATATAATGCAAAAAGGGATTTTCCCTATTCGATTTAAGAGGATTTGTAGACTATGTGACTGTCGGTACTAGTCCGTTCAACACTATACCTATAGAGAAGGCAGGATTTATATTTCCGGAATCTCTTTTTATGAGGCCCTTAGCAATAAAAAAATGTTAAGTATAGGTATCCAATTTTTAAGTAGTTTAGGAAAACAATTTGAAATTTGAAAACTTGGACAGTATAACAATCTATCTAAAGTGTGTTAATTCCAAGTTTGAAAAACCACTGTTCACGTATCCTAAATTTAAAAGTTCATTGAAAGATCCAATATTTTRATAATACGAGTAGTATTAAACCTACATAATTTRAAGAGTAATAATGAATATGTTAAACTCATAATATTTTATTTCAACTTTTCCATAAATATAAAATGTACCTAAATATGTCCTTTTCTCAGATATAAACACAATTTTATAAATTTGGTACTTTTATTGATTTTTTCATAAGAAAGTCGTCAGCGTTTTCATCAAACGAGAAAATAAGATAATGACAAGAAAATAAAATAACTCAACTACCTGCACTATTATAATATTATAATGTATAATATTATATTATGGTGATACGTTAAAGTTCATATTTATAATAATATGTTACTTCTTATCAAATCCAGGTTTTGGTACAATACAACCGCACTGTTTAAAAATAAATCATATTATAATCACTCAAACTTTTATACATACCTACATAACAAAATATTTTGCAATGATCGGATGCTCSCAATGCCATTCTGTTGTCGTGTGACAACTTGACGTATTCATTTTGCAGCCCAAACGATATAAATATAAATTAATATTTGTTTATTGATATTTTTTTCAAATTCGGACACGTACTACGTCTATGTATTCGATGGGCAAATTGGTGTTCAAACTATATATTTTTGTAGTTTAACAGAGCTGRAAATGTGTGCTCATCCGCTACCACCSTCCGCCATGCAACGACCCTCATAATAACAATATTGTGTACTTATAAACTTTATTGTAACGATTATATTCATCGTTAACGCGTGTTCGACATCCATCATTACGATTATTGCATCCGGTGCACGTAATAATATTTCATTCCGCCTACTAATAAAACCGTATAATAATATGCCAATCGTGTACTACGACTGTTCAATCGATTTAAGGAGTTATGTAAATGTAATAAAGTCTAAATCGAGAAAACAAATTATGATAATATCGAACAACAACAGCAATAAACCGAAAACTGGAGAGAAGTTGCTCGGCTGCAGTGCTTTATAGGTTTATAAAAGTAAAATATTATACTTCACCGTTGAGTAGATCACTCCAGCCATAGATGTATCAAAATCGAATTCGATTAAAAATAATTGCATTCCAAATACGCGATTCTGAGCCCAGGAGACTACAGATGGAATTATATTATTTTATATAWCATTGCAAGTATATAATGATATTTCGCTTCTAAATCGGTCGGTGGGAGCCATTTTTTTTTCTCGGAAAATTCAATTARGTATATTTTCAAAGGTGGGCATTAACTAGTTAAAAATTTAAAGTTAAGTTCATTTTTTTTTCTAACTTTTTAACTTAGTTTATTTTCTAATCAACTTATGATTTATGAACTTAACTAGTCCAATTGACAAATGAAATAACTTTAAATTTTTCATTTAAACGTAAATATAAATATAAAACAAAAACAATCCAATACTATGATAATACTTAAATTTCTGTTCATTTTCTTGGTAAAATAATTTTGTACGATGAAATATTTTATTAGATTAGTTATAGATAGATATAGTCACTCTTTATGTGAATTACATAACAATTAAAAAATGGATTAATTATTTTTTTTAATGAATTAAGACACTATTTTTTCCATCTTCACTTTTCATTTATCGAGTTAAATTTATAATTTATTGAATTGCTCACCTTCGATATTTTATAACTTATCACCGACGAAAATGTACCAAATAGAATATGTGCTTATAATACACAAGATAAATAATTAACAATAATAATATCATATATTATAAATTAAATAGCTTTAACATAATTTGTCTGAGTATTTTGAAAACTCCGCAGTGCAAAAATAAACCTATATAGAATGTTAAATGTTTCATGTTTCTATACGCTTATTAATATTTTTTGATATAGTATGCAACGAAATTACGAAAATTTAATGTTTGAGCAAAAATTTTAAATTTTACGTTTGAAAATCCAATTTCGTTATACTAATATTTGAACTCGATAGTAAAATTATTGTGTATTCGTTGTATACACTGTGTATTCGTATTCGTACCTACCTTCAAGTCTAGGGTTGACGGTTTTTTCGGGGCCATTCTGTGCTGGATTCAACTACTGTAGTGCCGCTCTAAGCGCTGTACAAACTGCCACCTTTTTACAAACATTATTTTAAAACTTTTGTATTATTGTTATTATTATTATTGGAAAAAACACTCAATGTGGATCGTTTTTACTTCGGGTGTTTTTTTTTTTTTTAAACAATCGTTTCATTTTAAAAATAAACTGATTTATATTATGACAATATTATAAGTTATAACTAAGTAACTGAACAATATTGCCGCTGTGAGCACGTGCTCATGGTGTTTACCGAAAAAAATACGGCACTGATACCAGTTCTAATACCGCAATACTGGTAACCATTTTTTCAGTATGTACCGACATTTAGTTGATATACTCTATTCCATGCTAGTATCGATTCTGATACCACGATAYCGGTATCCGGTTTCAACACCGTAATCTCTACTTGGAGAGGGGGGTATCTGTGATAACAAGACACGTAATTCTATAGCTGAAACAAGGGGATAGGCTACGACCACTCCCCTTCATACCATCGCACCGGTATAATCTCGTCAAATTTTTGGCCATGGTACAAAACCAAATCATCAAAGCTCCTCTTAAATGACAATTAATTGTTAAACATTTTTCTAATATAACATATTGAAGTAATTATTTGCATGAACGCCGGGTCCCTCGAAATTCCGGACCTCAGTACCACGGGTCCTTCTCACCCAACCACCCCCCCCCCCTTGTGGGGCTCTTGGTTATAACGTTAGAATAATATTTGAAGCCGGCGCGAACGTAATAATTATTAATCAACGGACAGCGGGTCCATCAGTTGTAGTTGGACAACATCTAACTCATACCTACACGTATTATTGTAATTATTGCTATCATTTCGGACGCGGACGCCGGTCGATTGTCGCCCGCATCACATAATACGTAGCCCTCCGGTAGTGACGATGCAGACGACGACGATTTGTTTTAATGATATTATTGCTGTAAAATTAACGACGATGACGGACGCGGAAAAAACTCACCAACTGTACGGCTGTTCGTGCGTGTTACAGGAGAACCTTCGAAGACGGGCACGGCCACCATACGGATTTACACGAAAAACAAAAACGACGAGGAGCCAAAGTTTTCGCAGCAGGTGTACACGCCAAACGTTGACGAAAACGCCGGTCCCAATACGCTGGTGACCACTGTGGTAGCTTCCGACAAGGACGGCGACAACGTCAGGTACGCTATAACTATATACTTACAATACATTATATCGTAAATACCAGTGGTTCTCAATGTTTTTATGTGTGCGTACAATCACCTATACATTTTTTGAAAATTTTCTTGACCAAATGAAGTTTTTTTTTTTCGCTCATCAAAAATGTAAACGTTATTTTTCAATTATAATTGTTTAATGCACAATTACCTAATGGAAAACGAAATATTCACAATTGTTTTTTGGCGTACCGCATATGAGGCTTACACGTACCACTAGCGGTACGCGTACCTCAGGTTGAGAAACTGTGGTATATACGACACGAACATATTAATATTACAGCTATCTACATAGGTTGGACCCTGAATTTGAAACATTTCAAAATTGAAATTTCACGCTTCTTTTAAATAAATTCTATGATGAGAAATGATTATCTAATTATGCATGATATTATCATACTATACATAATAACTATATTATTGTTACACGTACA